GTGCACTTGCTAATATGGGTGAAAGGTATTGGGAAATAAAGGTAAATATGATGTACGTAGTTTTCAGTCTAAAAAGACACGACCGCCCCGTGGGTGGTCAGAGTGCCCTTGGCTGCCTTGCAGGTCAGACCTCTGCTGGGCAGAAAGAAAATTCTGTAGATAAGAAATAATAAACAATCTGAAGACTGAAAAACTGAAGAGTCCAGACTCGTCCTTTGAAGCACGGGCTGCCCCAGAACCATCCTACACGTGTCTGGGCAGAGACAGACAGCTGACCGGACATAGAAGGATCTCCTCAGACTGTTGAACTTGTCACTGTGGTTAGGGCTTTTCAGCTATTTCCACAACCTTTTAATTGAATCATAGATTCTGCTTATGTTGCTAATGTGGTTAAAAGAATAGAAGGATGAGTTTTAAAGGATGTTAGTTATGACACTTTATATCATTGGCTTTCATGTCTTTATACAACTTTGCAATATAGAACTAATCCATATTTTGTTTCTCACATCAGGGCTCATTCTTCACTTCCTGATTTTTAGTGGAAGGAAATGCAAGAGCAGACAAACTGACAGTGGTTATTACAAACATTTTGCCAAACATTTTTGAACAAGCAAAACTCAGTCATGCCTTTCTTCACCAAAATGCACATGCTCTTGTGGAATGTTTCAAATTTCCAAAAGTCAAGCTAAAGCTATTATCAGTACTTGCCCTGACTGTCAGTTTGTGCAGCCTTCTGTTTCTACAGGAGCAGTCAACCCGCAAATTTTGCAAAGCCTGCAGTTATGGCAAATGGATATCACTAAATAACCTTCCTTTGGTAAATTTAAAAATATTGTTTCAGTGGACACATTCTCTGGTGCAGTTTTTGCTTCCCTTCACAGAGGTGAAACAGGTAATGCCTGTCACCATTTTTTGCAAGCTTTTGCTTCATTGGGTGCACCCAAGAAGTAAAAACCGACAATAGTACTGCATAAATATCTCAAAAATTTGCCATGTTTTTAAAGGATTGGGGAGTTTGTCAAATCTTTGGTATTCCTCATTCTCCCACGAGTCAAGCAATTATTGAGAGGGCACATCAGACATTAAAATACATTCTTGATCAAGAGAAGGGGGGAGTAGAGGTTACACCACAGATGAGGTTGGACAAACTTTATATGTTTTAAATTTTTTAAACAGCTTTGTTCCAGAACCCAATCCACCAATTTTTAGGCATTTTTCAAATAACACACAGGTGAAACTGAAAGAAAATCCCCCCGTTTTAATTAGAAACCCTGAGACAGGACAAATTGAAGGTCCTTTCCAATTAATCACTTGGGGCAAATCACTTGGGGAAGGTCCTTTCCAATTAATCACTTGGGGTATGCTTCTGTCTCTATAGGTGCAGGAATTAAGTGGGTCCCAGTGCAAAACATCAAGCTGTACCGCACCCCAGAACATGTTGACGAGCTCAAGGCCGTAGAAGCAAGTACGCAGATGTGAGCCAAACAGAGAGATCCCGGGTCATGCCTGATGTTCCTTGAACATCGGTGCATCGGTGGAACTTGCAAACTCTGATTTTATGCTATTTATAAATGTATGAATTGTTGGTTTCATAGACCTAATTTTTAGCAAAAGCGTGGGTTTTGTTTTGTTATGTTGTAGATTCCCTCTTTTGGCTTTTCAAATTTTATTTCAAGGTCAAAAGCAAAGTTTTTAAATTGATATATATGGAAGGATTTTTTGTCAAAAATTAGTTCACGAAAAGGATGGAGTGAAATCAAGTGATATGCTGGTGTTGGTTGGTTTTAATTGTTTCTTGTAGTGCAGATCTACCTGTGGAACAACCACAAACAAATGTTTGGGTGACCTTAGCCAAGGCAGCAGGCTCAGATACCATATGTTTGCCTAACTCAGAACCAGAAAAGCCTTTCTCAACCTGTCTGGTCGGTGTGCCAGTAAAGGATTTGCCCTTGATCAAAAAGCAATTCAATAGTCAGCCTGGCAAAACTGACAATGGGGGGAGCAATCCTGTATTGAATTGGAACATTTGGACCAAAGAACTTCCCAAAGCAGTATCTGAACCCCAAGAATTAGAAATCCTTGGTTCTTTAACAATGGATTTCTGCCTTACATTTACAGCTAACAATTAGCGAGAACGTGATCCTCCAAAGTACAATGTCACTCCCCATTATTTTGCATAGAGAAATTCAAGTTTTTGGTGTAATTATTCAAACAGTTGGGATGTGCTTTCCCAGGCTGACCAATATCCATGACAATTACCAAAAAGATATTGGTTCATTTGTGGAGATAGGGCTTGGCAGAGCATTCCATCACACCTTGAAGGTGGCCCATGTAGCATTGGTATGCTCACTGTGATTGCACCTACTGCTAAAGCAGTCATTAAGAAGAAACATAGGGGAACAAGATCTACTCATCACTATGATGAGAATTGTAAGAGTGATTTCATGCGTTGGAATGCTGCAAAAAGTGTTTCAGCAGGTTTGTTTTTACCCCAACTGGCTTCAGCAATGGTATTGAAACAAATAAATTGGGTTGGATGTTGGCTGAGTAAACAAATTAATGCCACATCCACTGCAATCAGTGGTATGCTGACAAATGTTAACAGTGTTAGGCATGCTACCCTTCAAAATGGAGCAGCAATTGATTTTCTTTTACTGGTACATGGACATGGTTGGAGGAATTTGAAGGATTGTGTTGTATGAACCTGTCTGATCATTCTGAATCCACCCACAAAAGCATAAAAAAGCTGATAGATTTAACAGCTCAAATTAAAGAAGATGGTGGGTCATGGTTAGATGATTTGTTCAAAGCATGGAGCTTTGCACCTTGGCTAAGGGAACTTTGTAAAATAGGTCTATATGTGTTGGGTGTTTTAGTGGTGATACTAGTAGTGATATCTTGCATACTTTGGTGTGTGTGACAAATGATGGACAAAACTATCAAAGAAGTTTTTAAAATACAAGAGAAAGAGGTAGGAAATGGATTTGCAGAGAGTTCTCAAAATCTTACAGAGACAGTGAATGAAGGTATAGACATAGAGGAAGTTTTTGAATTAAGACCTTGGAACTGGCGAGACTTTTAAAAACAATGACTTGTTGTTATCAGACATGACTTATGCCCTTTGAACTGACTAGACTTTCACAGCATTAAAATTGCTGTGTTGCAATATAGCAATGCTTGATGTGAGCAAAAAAATGCTTTAAGTAAGTAATAAGCAGATATATTATGGTAAAGATACAAAACACAAGATAGTTAACAACACAGTTATGAAGGTTCCTTTTTAGTTGAACCGAGAGGAGGAATTGTGGGAATCCTCAGAATCAGAGGGCTTTGGGAAAGCTGTAAAAGACAGGCCTCAGAGACAGCAGAACTGCAATTAGAGCTAAGCAGTAGCCATAAGATTTGTCAGCAGAAAAACTTATATGGGAAGTAGAAAAGTAAGGACAAATAGAACAATGGTCTGTCTATTAATGCTTGTCTAGAATAACTCCCTAAGCTGCAGAAAAGTATATCTAGCCAGATATTAGGAAGTTCTAAGCTTAGTAATGGAGCTCTGTGCATTGTGTTTTAAGGCTTTCAAGCAGATACTGTATTTGAAATAAGCAAGCATTGTTTTAACCAAAGGTATGTGTGCCTATAGTGGTTGGATAGAACTACTGTCAATATGCTTTTGCTTTGTGCGATTGGTCAAAAAACTTTTAAAGTAAGTTGTAACATTAAGTTCTTTGTCTGCTGCCTGGGATGTGAGCTGCTGGCATCTTCCCATTGTCATAACCATGTAATGAGACTGATGCTGGAAAATACAACAGCTCGAGACATGTTCCTTAGCAGTCCCCTCCTGTCTGTGATTTGTACATAGACCCCTGGCTGGCAATACTACTAACCAATTGGAGCCACACACAAGTGAATAAAGAAATGGCTTTTCCATCTTGAAGAAAATGGAGTCTGCATGATTTATTCCCATAGGATTACACTGGTCTTCTTGGCCACAAGGTCATACCACTGGTCCAGTACAGAACCCTGGGGGACACCACTAGTTACAGGCGTCCAACTAGACTCTGCCACTGATCATGACCCTCTGGGATTTGCCAGTCAGACACTTCTCAATCCACCTCACTGTCCACAGTTCTTGATTTTTCCTATGAGGATGCTGTGAGAGAGTGTCAAAAGCCTTTCATGGACCCCCTGCTGCTTCTTCTATTCGTTTGATTAGAATCCAGCTTTTAACTTATGATTATCCTTCTAGACTTATGAAATAAGTTGTCTCAACATCAACTTCACCACCTTTTAAACAATACCCCAATGACACTGTTTGATCACCATAAGCAAACATGGGCCTCAGTAGGAAAGAGAACCAGACACCAACAAGAAAACAACTGTGAAACCTGACAACAGTTTCATATTAACCAACTTCTCCTAATGGAGAAATTGATCAAAATATGGAGATTCTCTTCATACTCGTGTCCATCACATTTATTCCCTTCATAATATGCCTTAAATTCGTCAGGCAACTACATGGTTGAAAATAGACATGACTCCTGATGTACTACTCAAATTTTAAAACAAAAAATAGTCTAGTGAAAATTATGGGTCTGATGGTGCACTGCAGTCTTCTTACTAACTCCCCTAGTCATGTAACTGTCAAATTTTAAATTTTGTTCCTCAAAAACCTATTAACTCTCTCCAAGTACTATCCCTTATCCCCATCCATCAGCTCTGCAAATACTAATTATGATTTTCTTCATCAAGAACATTTCATTAGGCTGGTTCAACTTCATCTTAGATTCTGCTTCTGCTTCTTGAAGGCATTCAGTCTAATAACCGGACCAGTTTTTGCAGCCATCTCAGTTTGACAGACATGCTTTCCCTCCAGTTTTAAACTAAGTAAAAGAAATATATACCATATAGATATTTCACACAAGAGCCTATTAATAAGTCCTATTAATATAACATATGATTACATATACTCCATGTAATATTAGAAGCTGAATATTACTTACTTATCTCTTAATATTACACCTTCTATACAGGCGCCAAACAACACTATACAGGAGAGATCTGTTACTGAGACTGAAGGAAGATTACTCTCTAAAAAATCACATAGAAGAAATCCCACCTTTCTTCACCAAGGTATGAAATGAAAATGTCCATGACAATGCAGCGCGTGTGTGTATTTCCTGGCTGCTTTTTTATTTTTTTTTTTTAGTTCTTCCCTGCTACGGTTTTTTAGTTTATGTTCTTTATGACTGTATGTCACAGTGATTTGTGAAGTATTGGAAGTAGCCAGCTCATATAGCATGCAATAGAACAGGCATTTTCTCATACAAATAAGCATGTACTTGTGTACTGTAGGTTTTGAAGGACCGACAACTACTATTACTGTTTTTTTTCCTTTAAGATCTGGTTATACTGAGTATGACAATAATCTGCCAACAGAAGCCTAATGCTAAAAACCTTCAGATCACTTGACTACAACCATCAATTACATACTGGAATTTGAAGCACTAGTAGAATATCTATATTTATTAATAAAATTTGACATATTTTCATAATATTTATAAATAATACTGGTATTTTAGACAAATATCAAAGATTTCTTTTCAGTTTAGATTTCATTCATTTCCTAGTCAGGAAACTAATGATTTTCCAGTGAAAAACCTGTTATACCTACAGAATCTACAGAATGTAGACTAAGAAAAAAGTCACAGTATAAAGGATACAAATAAAAGATGTAGTTGAAATAGCCAAAATTGTTCCAGTAGGAATAGATTTCTGAGCATCCTTTAGATCTCCAGATCTATTTGATCCTGCCATAATACCTTAAAAAGAGACAAAATTTATGTCATAAAACCAATTAATAATAACTCCATGATAATAACTAAGAAAATAAGAACATCTAATTTTAAACCAACTTTAACTCAAAGATTACCAATGGAGCAGGCTACAGAAGCATATTATAATCCTGCACAAATCCTCAATTTATACCTTCATTTTATTCAGAAATCTGTGTTATTACCCACTTGAGTAAGCAAATCCTATAAAGGTCAGTAAAAAGACAGATTAAAAAAATGTTTTTCAAGTATTACCTCAGAATCATTCTTGAAATGAAGAAATACAAGGAGTAGCAATTTTGCTATTTGGAAGGGATGTTACAAATTAATAGGGACTTGGCAATTTATCCAGTATGACCTAACGCACTGACTTTCTACTAAACAGACCATCATAATAACAAGCAGATGTAAACAAGCAAATCAATAAACTAAAAAATAAAGCCTTAGAAGCAAAAAAGAAAGGAGCAGGCAAGAAAAAGAATGGTTAGAAAAATCACACGTACGCGTGTGAATCTAAAAAGAGAACCGAATTATTTTGTAGCACATACAGTGACAGGAGGGAAAGAAATCTATACAATAATTAATTCTGCCATCTCTCCTACAATTGACCTAACCACTGGAAGCAAAAATATGGAAGCTAATGTCAAGATGTTCCAGTGCAAAAACATTGTCAGACTCCATGGAATAAAACAATAACCATGAGGTCAGATATGATGAAATGTTGGTAAGAGTCTGATGTTAACAAATGGGAGCAGTGGGGTTCAAACAGTGAATACAAAGATAATTCCACTTCATAATAAACTACCAAACAGTGCTGCAACTTCTTATTGGAATTCTATTCTGTTACTTGATATTACAATTACTTCAGCTGGGACTTTAGAAGAAAAACGTCTGTTTTTTCATTCAAGCATGAGCTGAGGAAAATGAAATACAACTAGTCTAGGCTTGACAAAAAAGTCTACACAGTTAATGTGGCAAAATATTGGACATGTGAACAAACCCCAGGCAGTTAACCAGGCAGTTTGGACACTGGAAGAATCATTTTAATATTAAACTGTTCTCTCAAGCCTTTGAAGATTAAAGTGTTATAAAGGCACCTTATTTGGAATAAACATTTAGTAACACATGAGGGTTTTGCTTTCTTTATAGAAATGGCCCTTAAACAGATTTCTTGTTTGAGTCCTATAACGTCCAAAAGTCATTAGCCATGACTAATGTCTCCGTAGCACCAGAAGGTACATAACCTCAGACACAGAAACTTGCAACAGCATGAGTCACCCATAAGATTGATGAAAATGAAAAAATTTCACATGAATTTTTTTTCCCAGATACAAATACACATCCTCATGCAAAAAAAATAGTTGTGTCTACCTGTCACAGATGGGAAATAAATCCCTACAAGCATTGTGAAGTAGGTCATGATATCTGTAAAAACATAAGGAAGTCCACCCATTTTTGATTCTTCTGATCCAGCAACTGATGGCTGATCTTTTTTCTCAACTATTGATCCTTTTTCTGAATAGGCACTCCAGAGATTATCTACAAGGTGGGGGAAAAAACAAAATCAGTGTCACCTCTCTGTTTCAGGATATCAATTAGTGAGAATGCAATAATCCTAGGAATCAGATGCCTTTTTCTTACACAAAAATCATGACATTTCCCAGTATGATTAATACCAGTTGTAACAGGTATTATGTAACTCCAGCCCATGCTAGTAAAAATGGCGTAGTGTGAGATGTGTCCTGCAAAATTTTCTCTTCCTCTAAAGCAAAATATAATTATAGAATTAAATTCTAATGCATTTGTAGAATGTACACTTGCATTGCACAGGCACACAGATGTTCTATTGGGAAAAAATAAGGAAACTTATCTCCAGGTTCAAGGAATCTTAGTATATACTAATACTTATTCTTGTATTTTGAGGAGCAGTATGAAAAAGAAATGCTACTTAACAGTAATTTGAGTTCTTTGACACCACCTGTACAGAAGAATCCTGCATAACAGTTCAGGATTCAGCTGTTAATGGCAAAAGATTTCCACATGGTGACAAAAGCAGCATAACCAGACTCCAGAAGATCACTGGTAAGCAAAGAAACCCCAGCAGAATATGGCTCAAATTCCCCAGCAAACTAAGCGCATTTGTTTGAAGAGTGATAGGTCAAAGAGTAAATTTTGAGAGCTTGCATTTGTGGAAAACACTGGTTGTGTACTTTGATAAGATTGTGAGAACAGACCACACTGATTCTTATTTGAAATTGAGACAAGTTGTCCTATTATATGTAAAAAAACAAAGTAGATACTCTTCTGACCTGTCAAGAAGGCAAAGGATTTTACAGCAAGGAAATAAACAATTTCCATGGACTGCCAGGATGATTGAATAGCCAATTTTCAGACATCCTGAACAACTCTAGGGAATTCCAGTACAGTATTCTAAGCCTTTATAATAGCAAAAAGTAACCTTGAGCACAATAGAAGATGGACTTTGAACCATAAGTGGCCAAAGAGAGGGTACTCATACCAAGATTTTTTTCTAAAATCTTACAATTGGTAACCTATATGGAAGTAGGCATGAGAAGCAGAAGAGAAAGCACAGCAAAGATTGAAAATAAGTATTATTTGCTAAGGAATGATATGTGTATCACTACAATCAAATGAAGAGGAGTTACAGACTGATCTAGAGATAGGACTGAAGCCATAAGAAGTTAATGAAACAAGAGAATTTTAAATTTCAGGAATTTTCGCAGAGATGAGTGATGTAAAATAAGACTAGATCTCCAAATTAGCATCTATCTACCCCCTGTGAAACATAAGAAGAAAATCAAAACATCAGTTTGAACTGCCAATCAAAAGCACTTAAATTCTTAATAAGCACTCAACAGCTTGTGTCCTTTATTCAGCATGACACAGGAGTGACAATGACCTGAGCACTGCAATGCATACAACTTAACTGTAGAACTGTGCATGCCAGCACATGGGTAAAATCGGCTTAGATATTTTGTTGAATAGAAATCACTTTCCCATTTCATAACATGTCACACAGAGCTTTCCTATGCTCATTTCCCCAAAAGTGATAATCCAAGAGGACTTGAAAGTTAGGGTGAGAAAAAATAATAAGTTTTCAGAAAAGTCCAGACATTTGACCCTTCTAGGACCATTCCTTGATTGCTAAGGCTCCTCTAGCAGCTAACATTTAGGGTACATACACAAGAACAGGTACAGTGTATCAGACCAACATGCTACCACCATCAGAACAATGTTGATAAAGCTAGTAACAGAACTGCATAATTTCTGTTAGGGTTATAGGCCTATTTAGTCACCCACTTCCAGAATGATTTATTATTGTCAGGACAACACTCACGAAGGTATATAAGGGATGAATACTTACTCTATATGAGTGCCAAATAAATGGTGTGAGGACTTAGCACACTTCCTGAGACAGTCATGGCATCTGAATATTGCCAGTCACAGCTCAAGAAACTTTAATGTCCAGAACAGTTTCAAAGTCTTCACACAAGGCAGAAAATTCATCAAGTGAAAGAAAATTCTCCTTGAGAAATCTCTGCCACGAGAGCTCAAGCTTATGCTAGATATCAGAATGTGTGTTCACACTCAGCAAGTAAGACACCTAGTTTTAGCATTAGGTGTAACTAGGATAGTGAAATGTATTGTTATGGAATAGCTCTTGTTCAGAGAAATGTTAATCAGCGAACAGAAGCAGAGCGCATATTTTCAAAAGCAGGAAAAGCAGTACTTAGCCTGAAATCTCCAAGAACACTGAAATACCTGAGGTTGACATGAAATAGTATTGATACCCAAGGACAAATGAAAGGCCATTTCTTTAATTTAAAAGTGTTTCAGGGAGACACAGAAACTAAGGACTCATAAGCAGCATCTCTACAGGAACAGTCAATAGCAACAATAGCAGTTGATAGAGGCAATAAACAGGGAAGTTATTTTTTATTTCGGACAAAACTTAGTAGTTATTCACAATTTTTCTTTAGTTTTGAAAAACTGGGGAAACCTCAACTCAGCTTTTGCAAAAGAAAATTGTCAGAAGTATTCAAATTCCTTGAGGTAAACATAAATGAAGGCAATCCACTTGGATCAGTCCATCTATATTGCCCATGTTATTAAAATATTCCTCACCCAAGGAATCTACACGAGACATTGGGTAAGAGGAAATCTCCTCACATGGATTAAAAAAAACCAGTTCAAAGACAGAAAACAACAGGTAAGAGTAAATGGAAGTACAGCTTTGTAATGCAGAAGAGCCACCAGGAAACTTCTATAAGAATGACCATCAGGATGTAACCAGTGCTATCCAGTACACTCGAACAGCCCAAAAATAGGAGCTAGTACCAAGGTGAGAGCCTGCTGGCAATTCTCAGTTAATTCAAAGTTGTAGAAGGAAAAACAGCTGCAAGGAACTTAAAAAAAAAACAAAACTAAACAAAAATGCATCAGATTCCATGAGTAAATATAATGGAATTGATGAAATTCACTACAGGTAAGCAAAGAGCAGTGAATGGTGGAAAGTGTGTCGCTCACAATGAGCTTTCAGCAGACTCCTGGTCTTTAGAGATCTTAACATTATATGAGAATAAATTAACAAAATATACTTTTATACAGGATTGCTTGTTGAATGAAACACCTAAACAGTGGTTGGAACAAAGGAAAAAAAATAATACTCAGCCTGAAACCTCCAAAAGTAAAAGAACAATTTAAATCTTACAGGTAGCAAAAAATTGTAACATACAGCTAACTTGTGAGCTGGGGCAGGAAGTACAAAATTATTCATGAAAAATCGTAGATATGCAAATGGTAAATCATAAAACTCAGAAAACAAACTCTAAACTACATTTCTTGTAACAAGCAAATAATTTCATTTTTCATTGAGAAAATTATTTTTTAATAGCCACAAATTTTGATTCAGAGAAGCCTATGTTTCATTTAGTATCTTTTAATGTATTTGTACACTTTATATGTGATATTTTCAATTGGAGTACTGTGGCAGCAGTGACCGTCTAGTGTGCCTATGTAGCATATTTATATAAATCAAACTTTATTTTAAGGAAAGGCAAAGCAGAGGTATCAGAGTAACCATTTCATTCCCAGAGACATTATTTGTGAGTGTACAATACAAATTATTACACATTTAAGATGAAGCCTATGACTTGATGCAATCTGAATTCCAAGCTGCCACAACCATACAGATCTGTAAAGAGAATAAAATCTATACATTGGAGACTGCTCTTCTCTAATTCAATCACTAACTTGTACACATTGGACAATCCACAGAACTTCACTCTCATTGCACCACCTGTGAAGTGGAAACAAGTTCCCTCTCAGGAGAGTTTGAAAATATATTAATGAATGGCTTATTGAAATGTGTGTTTGGCATACATATTTAAAAAAAAAAAAAGCTGTGATGAGCACTTTATCACATTTTGATTAAAAAATGGCTTTTGAAAGAGTAGCTATCAAACTCCAATTACCACCAAATTAAAGCACTTGATACTAAGATTCTAAAACCAGGTTCTTTTATAGGAAGAAGCATGCTCAAGGTAGCAATCCTTCACACAGACTAGACCGCTATATTACTGACCAGCCATTGGCCAAATTAATAATGTCCAAAAACTTTTAAGTCACTGTGCCTTCCAACTTACCAGTTAGAACTCCACTCATTATTCCTGGTATTCCTTGAATTTCTGTTACATTATTGAGACTAAAGTAGTCATCACATGTAGCATTAAGCAAAGAACTATCACAGAACAGGAGCCACAAAGGTGTAGTCTTTGTTTCGTTATTGCTTTCAGTAAATTTGGCACAGACATCAAAGCTGCGTTTTGACAATGTACGGTTTCCAAGGAGACAGATACTATAAAAAAGAAAAAGAAAGTCATTGTTCCTTCAATACAAGGCTGTGAATGAAGCCATTTTTTGTCCATTAGACTTCTTCAGAAACCTGTTATTTACACTATCTACCTTAAGGCCTATACTACATCTACTAAACCAGTATATAGTTTCTACATCTAAAACTATCATCAATAGTCTTTAAAATATGGATCAAATATTTCTTCTTTATGGTAAAGTATAATCAATTTAAGCAGCTTGACTACTACATAATAGCAATTATGATGCATTCAGCCCTACAAGAAAGAAGTAAAATTAAATAATAAACTTAATTAAAAGATGAGTCTGATGAAGAAAATATAAAAGTGAGTTTAAACAAGTAAACCATTCTCTTCCTTTTCAAGCAACTGAAAACTTTAGATGATCCTCAAAAACAATTACAATCCAAAAGGTAGGAAATAAGCCAGGAAGATTAAAGAGCCAAATATAACAACAGTGATGGGAGTACACATTAAAGAATCATGTATTGGGAAGCAATTTTTTTTTCAGGAATGAAAGAGAATTAGAAAAATCTGAACAGCTGTCAAAAGCAAATTCCTACCAGCAGAGTACATTAAGGATCTAGGTATATTTCTTTGTTAAACTATACAAAAGATGTTTAAGATTCCAGGCTTGCTTAAAAACTGAATTATATAGATCTTTGAAGACAAAAGAAGGAACATCAAATATAAAATGAGGGTTAGGCAGATACACCAGCACAGCTTCAAGGTATTGCATCTCATGGAATTTCAGCAGATTTAACAGAAAACTATTGCTAAAGAGATCATCTTGTCACTTGCCTTGCTTAGTTTTCTTTTTAATTGCTACTGATTTGATGACTCAATAGCAGCAGGGTCAAATAATACAAGCAATGGAAACTTTCAGTTTGATTCAAACTGGGAGATCTTGAGGTAAACTATTTTACCACCTACACAATGGACAAACTTAATGGAGGTTAGTGATATCAACCTAACTAATCAGCTAAGTGGAAGTTGTTTTGTTTGGGTTTTTTTAATGACCATCATCAGATCAGTCTTACCATTACACTAGACCCTACTTGAGTTTCTCATTTTGAGGCAGACTCTAAATGTAAACCATTATATTTAGTGGAAAATAAACTCTTTATGTTTTCCCCCCAATACAATAATATTACAGTAGCAGCCACATATAAAGTCTCCAGGAACTTGGTAATGAGTCTCAGCAATGCTACATACCCACATAAACTCTCTTTTACCTATACAGACAAAAAGATATTACTATTGCCCCACTGGAAGTTAATGTAAGAACCATAAGTTTTATTCAGAAATAGGTCAAAGTTTTACATATTACATGTGAAACAATGCTACAGAACAATCCACAAGTACTACTCTAATGGTCAATTTATAATGTAATTACCAACACTTCAAAGTAATATTGAATTTGTAACAATCATACAGCAAAGGATAACTCTTACTATGAAGTGCCACACAAGATTGAAGTTATCAGCCTATTCTGATCATGTCTTAAGCAATATAACTTTGTTTCATCTTTCAACAGAAAAATATGCACAAAAATACAACTCATATAACTGGGTAAAGTAAAATGCAGCTAATAACTGGAGTGAAGAAGTAACTCCTATTGAGCTAAAAATTAAGCACATCAAGGACCTTGAGAAGCAATGTGTCATGCATAACAATAACATTTTATTTTATTAATGGGAAAGCCTTCACAAATACAAGTGAATTTAAACACTTCAATGTGTCATTTTTAAGAAGGGAGAAATGGAAGTTTCTAAAATTTCTTCATAACACAGAAAGTTTAAATTTATGGGGTTTTTTTATAACAATGCTTAATAGCTACAATGGTTTCTTGACCTTTTTACTTTATTCTACAGGTTTTTAGATAAAATCTTTAGATAAAGCAGTTACATTTACCGTCAGCAAAACGCACCTTCTTGCGCCTTGGGTATGGATGAAATAACAGCCAAATTTTAAGCACCAAAGAACATTTTCTAGAGTTACCATATCTTATGAAAAAGAGAGAAATATTCAGATATGTGAATATTTCTTAGAATATCAAATGACCACATTGGTATTTAAACTACATAAAGCTACCACTGAAAGCAATGTGTTTGTATTTTGAAATTTAGCTTAAAACATGAAATTATTACAGTAGCTCTTCCCTCCCCACACTTTTTTTCTTTTAAATAACCCGCACAACTCAATATTGCACTTACGGAAAGTCAGGTGGGTCAAAAGCAGTCTTAATAACTCCAGCATATATGGCAATGATGGAAAGAATCACACAGGCAAGGAAGACCAGTGCAAGCTTGTTGACATACTTTACTCCCACAAAGACTACTATGGCCATCAGAATGACAATACATGTTCCATAGACTCTCATGTTGTTCAGCATAGCCTCTGTTTCTTCACCAGCATCTGCCACTTTAAATATAGCAGCACTGGGAGAAATATAGGTCTGCAAGAGATATGGTGAACTATCATACATGTAATAATGAACATTTTATTAAATCATTTACTTGAACTATAAAATCTAACCTTCTATACCAGTTTTGCTTTCACAAATGAGTTTAGCCATATAATTTGGGCATCGAAAAACTCTAGAAATAAAGGAAGGAAAAGGGTGAGGGTGAAGAAAAACAAGGATTAAGAATAGGATACAACTTTTGCTCCAGCTTCTTATCTCCTATTAAAGATCTTCCACTCCTCTAATTCATGTGTCTGCCAAATGGGGAAAACAGCTAAGGAATTTGGTGGTGGAAGGAAGTAGAACATGACAAAAATAAAAGAAAAAACCCAAACCATAAACAGGACTTCCATTGATTGAAACGAAATATGAAGAAACAAACAAAAGTATAATAAACTAAAAATGTTTTCAGTATTATACACCCTATATAATACTTCATAAAATTTTAATCTAAAGTTGCAAGAGCACAATTTAAGATTATTGTGAAGAAGTTTAGTCATGTGCTAAACCAGACATTTCAATCTACTGCAATTTCAAACAAGATTCTCTTACAGATCTCTCTTTCTTAAATTTTGGTGTGCTCTACCTGAAAAGAAGTTGAAAATTGTTAATAGCATTTATACTGTTAAATGTGTGTGAGAAGACAAACTGATCTAGTTCTAAGACATTGGTGTACTACACTACACAACCATATCTATATGCCCTCTTCTAGCACCCCTAAAAACACCCTTTTCTGCTCAGCTACCAGGGCTTGAATATTAGGGCTTGAGGCAACTCCGGTCCTTCAAAAAAACTGCAGAAATGACTATTTTTCAATAGTATAATTTCTAAAGGCAGGAAGAAACTTTGAACAGGAGGCTGATCTGATGCATTCATAAGCAAAATCCAAAAATAGACATAGACAATCATTTACCAGAAATTTCTTAAATTAAATTTAAATTTAGTAAATTACTATTTACTAGAATGCTGGAAGATATGAAAATTGTCACATCATCATGGAAGAAAAAGAAAGCAAACTAAAAAAAATTATTACAGATAAAGTATATATTGTTAAAAAACCCTACACTGTGACGTTGCAGAAGTTTCAGGCTCTCTATGGAGGTACTCCAGAAGATTTTCTTGTGGATTTTGTTGCCCTGCTGCTCAAAGCCTTTGCCAGGGAAAACCACAGGGAGATGACTGATTTCTGTTTCTCCAAATAATCCATGCCCCAGTGAAAGAAAAAGCAATACTCATGCCTTGTGGCTATGTCAGGGGTCTATTCTGAGGTCTTTGACAGATATCCTGGGAAGCATTTTACTTCAAATTCTGTAGCTAGATCTTGTACATTTTTATCAGCAACACAAACCCAGCATGACCCTCTTAATAGGGAGAACAGTGCACCAAATTCAATCCACAATTGAACATGTGCTCGTGTTACTGCTGTAGATCAGACAACAAGCAAGACAGATCAGATCACACAAGCAAGCATTAGTGAATACTATCTCTAATTTAAATGTAAAAAAAACCTGGATTTGATTACATGGATCATAGTAAGTAACAAGAAAGAATTCTTAAGTATCTCCTGTTCATATCTTCAGTTTCTGATTTGATGACCAATTATTGGCCCCTCCTGGATGAACAAAGCCATAGTAGCCAGGCCACTGCCACACAGGCAGAATTCCACAGCATCTTTGCAAATATATGAAAATTCAAAGCCAGTAGTTCTGAAATGAGGAAGTGTGATTGATTATTATTGCCTCATCACAGATATGCCCTTCATGTTCTCCACAACTTTTCATTATGCAGCAGTGTGTTACCTTGGTAATGCTTTCCACCTATTATTTGGAAAGAGAAGATTTCTGCTTGGTTCGCAAATTATATAAAATAAACATACATCAAATAGCATTTAATTTATTTTTGTATTACTGATAAGAATTTAACTTCCTCAAATAGTCATGAGTAAGAATAAATATCAACATCCTAAAATGTAGTATCAAAACATTAACAATCACCAAACTAGAATGCATTTTAGACCATTAAGAAAATTCATCAGCAATATCCTGAAACAGCCCAAACACATTTAGTCTTAATAGAGACTAGTACTTACCAATAAAATTTCAATGGTACCAAGAATATACATTGCTCCTGCAAAGGTTGTACCCAAGTAGAAACAAAGTCCCACTGCTCCACCAAACTCTGGCCCTAAAGATCTTGAAATCATGTAGTAAGAGCCTCCAGCTGTGAATTTAACAAAACAAAACAAAACAAAAAAAACCCGAAGAAATAAAACAAAACAAACAAACAAAACACCTCCAGTACTTCAGATTAAGGATGGCAGTAGAGAACAAAAATTTGAATCATTCATCAGCCAACATAATCAAGATAACCACTGCGTGTTTCTCCACTGACAAACTCATGACAAGACTGTAACCAATGTCTATACCATCTAGATAGTTAGAATGCACATTTCAAGATTAATATCCCCATGTGCATTGTCTGTGGAATAGAAAGCAAAGACCAAAGAAAGAAGAGGAAAAATTCCACAAGCTAAACAGAAGTAAATTAGAAAAGGATATACAGGTATAAATAGGTATGAATGAATTTTTAGCTTCTAACCTTAAGCTGTTCCCCATCAAACAATAAATTTCCAAAATAATTGCTTTATGAGACAAGGACAAAACAGATTATTTTCTACTGATTCTTTCTATTTTCTGTATACTAAACCATAGCCATTTTCAGTACAGTTCACAGTTTTTTAGTACTGTTTAAAGGTGTTGGGAAGGGATTGCTTTTTCTTGTCCACATATAAAATATTCACTTTTACCCTGAGTTCTTCAATTCTTCTCTCTTACTTCCCATATGTATGCATCATCTTTCTTTAAGTCATAAACTACACCACCACCATCCTATTTCCATTGCACTATTTGCCTTTTAATAAGGCTCTAAATTTCAAGCTCATCTCTTTCTTTTAGAATGTCAACCAACTCCCTCAAGGAAAACTCTTCTCTCTGGTTCCCTCTCCATCTACTCTTAAATTAATGATTTTTGTCCTGCTTGTGGGAAGAAAGAGACAGAGGAAAGATGTGTGCAATTTTAAATAACGTATATCAGTGTGAAGAGTCTGAAGCTGTTTTTCATAGAATCACTAAAGTTGGAAAAGACCTCCAAGATCATTAAGTCCTATCATTGACCTAACACTACTGAGTCGACCACTACACCCTGTTCCTAAGCACCACACCTCCTTGTTTTTTGAACACTTCCAAGGATGGTGATTCCACCATTCACCAGCGCAGTCTGTTCCACAGACTTCAGTGTTTTCAATATGAATGAATGAGAAACTAAGAAAGATATTATGATGCATCATCAATTCTTTTACTAAATATAATGAATGCTCTTGCATATAAAGGCAAAATAAAGGACTCCGCAGCTTAGGTCTCCTTCAGTCCTGGGTTCTTATATGTGCTTTCTGCCTTCTCCATATATTCAGGACAAGCACCATTCCTCTTAAGAAACTGGCACCAACAACAAAAAAAGTGAAAATTTAGACCTGTCTCATGTAAGAACTGCAGGCTTCAAAGTCTGTGAGAGATGTTAAACAAAACCATTAAAATGAACTTTAAAAATATGAGGGAGAATACAGCAGAACATTTTAGTTATCTGAGCACTGATTTGAATAACTCAATTTTATTATAAAACAGGAGTATTTTAAACAAAATTGTCTATTAATTTTTATTTCATATATGGTACTGGATCCATGAAATACAATTATTATACAATTACTCTACATTCTACACAAATTATAGCTTTTACTATTATTATAGCCCAACAACTTCACTTTAAGTTCAGAGTTCATACCAATATCTGAACACCAGAACTATCAATTATTGTGCTGAGAAACTAAAAAGGGTAAGAGCTTCAAGAGTTAATTGATTTTGCAACTAAAAAAAAATCCTCTTACTTTATGAAGCCGAATCAATTTATCAATCTATCCTGAAAATTTGAGATGGGCAGAACCTAGAGTGTTTATGCAGAAAAATATTTTTGCCATGAAACCAGTTACTATTCTTGCAGAAAACAAGATATCTAACTCCAGGGTTTAGCTGGAAAATAGGAAAATTCAGGAGAGAGAAAAGTAGTACCCTTATTTGTAAAGAAATTTGCTTTGTGTGAAGACCAGTCTCCATTAATTCAATTTATAACATCTTATCTTTGATTAAAATAGGATCAAATGACTGATGACAAAGATGTGCTGCAGATTGTAATTCCCAGAAGAACCAGTCTTAAAGACTGCATCTCACATTAAAAAGTTATTTATAAAATCAATTAAAAGAAAAAATGCATTTGATACAAAAGCATTACTTCTGATATTTGAGAATGATAAGAATTTCTTATCCCAGATTTAAACTTCCATTAGTTAAGAATTTGCCATGTAAGATAGAATTCTTCATTACCTGGAACTACACCATTTGTTGCTATAGCACTCATTGAAATTGCAGTTAGCATAGTCTGTGGAAAGATGAAATAGAGGAAATTTAAAATACCAGAGTTTTGGAGGTTTTTTTTTAAAGATTGGGCAAAACAGTAATCAAATGTAACTAGATTTTTTTTTCACCCCAAGATGTTTAATTTGGGATATCCATGCAACTCAAGTACTCAACTTTTCAGGCAGAAGATTTAGTTAACTTACACTTGACACAGTCTTTAAAGAACTGGAAGAATATAGAGCATTGCATATACTTAAAATAGTATGTTCATTATTTCAATTTAAAAAGTAGTGAAAACTAATTGTAACATTATTATGACAACATCTAGTAAAAGTGTATTCTATTATTCTAAAAAATTACTTTATGGATGCAATGCTGTGGGGTTTGATTTGTAGTTTATTATTCAGTTTGTTCTGAAGTTGAAAAAAGCAGAACAGTTCAGATCTCTAAGTTAATAATGAAATATTTGCCAAAGGCTGATTTAATAAAACTCATATAAAATTTTAAATAAAAGCTTACTTTGATCAACTCAAAAGAATGTCCATACAGGTTAGACTGACACGTGACACCCACTGCTTATATATATAACCCATTTCTCTCAATTGAACCATATTGGTTAAATATCAGTACAATTTTACCAGTATGATTAAATATGGTTATATTTTCCCTGATACTCATACATTAGAAGGTGTCAGTACTCTTTCAACAGAGAATTTGGACAGGAGTTTAAAAAAGAAATAAAATAAGGTTAACTTACACAAGCACAACACATGAACACAATGATGAAAGACTCAAGAACTCCAGCTGTTCCTACAATCCATGTTAAACGCAGGAAAAGGATAACTCCCAAGATGTTTTGCAAACAGGGAAGATATACACCAATAAAGGTGCCCATTCGTGGACCCTGGAAACAAAGTGAGAACATCAATTCCTTTGCACTAAAAAATTTAAATCTATAAACACTTTATTCCACAAACACTTATCACAAATGCTCCATGAACAAATGCCAAGTGAAAATGAATGGTAGCTTCGGAGTGTCCAGCTTTGCAAATATTCATGTGCTATTTATAAAGAAAAATTCCTGAAAAGAGAGAAAACTATTTGTGATAACAAACTCTCTTGTTCCACAGAAATTAGGATGACACCTTGATAGGGATACCACAGAAATTACCTTGATGTGTCATCCTAATGATAGGATGGGATAGGATGGCCCTTCATCTGTTGATCATAACACTTTACAAACTTTTTCAGAAATACCAGTTACAGGCTAAAGTTAGAGGTTAAAGATAAATTACTGCCATAATCAAAATATCATTTATATTCTGCAAAAAGTTGATCACAAATTGCCACACAGCTGGCACAAAAAATTATATTCAATAGTAATTTCAATTTTAAAAAAAGACAAGGTATTAAGACAGAGCGTGAAGTAATGCAGAGCTGACTACAATTTCTTTTTTTCAAAAACTGCAAAACCTGTCACAACATAGTATATGTGTACTTTTTATTTGCTAGTGATCATCATAGGTCAAGACATACACAAAAGCATTCAGGTTTCATCACTAAAGTTTCAGTCTTCTACACTTATGAAGAGAAAACAGGCTTTGAAATACTCTAGTTAAAATCAACAGTTATACACAGTAGCTTTCCAGTTACACAAGATAGTCTTAAATCACAACCTGGGCTGTGAAAAATGGCAATTGATTTAAATAAATAAGCAAGCATTGATGCTTTGGAAGTTATCAAAATTATTAAGAAAACTCTAAATTTCCAAGTATTTGTAAGAAACCATAGAATGCCATTTAGACTACATTTTTTATTTTTAGCATCTTGAGCGATTTCCATGTGCAGCATCAGCTCCACTGTCTCAATCACACTATTAAAATGCTACTCTGACAGGCTACTACTTAACTATCACAATTTCAGAAATTAAATTAAGATACATACATAAAACTTGTGTTATCAGGCCACCACATGGAGCACAAACAAGATCAACTGCAAGCGAGGGCATGATGTTCATTTGTTCATAGTCAGCTCCAGAGGGAGTAATATGGTGCTGCATTGACAAAAACCTCTACACAGCAGCTGAACAGACAAAGGGGTTCACAGTAAGGAAAGTGTGAGAAGATCAGTGTTACTTTTCTCACATCTGAAGTTTATCTTCAGATGAGATGAAACAAATATAGATCAAGCACAACTAGACAAACAGAAAGAAAGCACACCCATGAACAAATACAGGATAAGGAAAAAATTAAACAAACAGCTGGCCTTTATCCCTGACCCTTGCCCACTGTCCTGGTACCAACTTCCACTCAAAAGCTCCATTCCACTCAAATGAGCTGCTGTTCTAACCTTATTTTCAAACATATTTTTATCTCTGTCTTTTCTGCTCTGTGCTCATTTTCCTTTTTCTCATTCTCATATACTTCTCCTCTTTTCTTCATAGCTTGGCATGTAAATTCAGTAGCAGGACCCCTTCTCCTACACAAAGACAGGTGACTCCCAGCACTGTCTCTTCCCAGCATCTACCTTAATTTTCTTAGTTTCAGTCACCATGCTCACCATGCAGCTCATCATTCTTCCCTTGCCTATATGTTTTTATACTCTGTCAGGTCACATGCTTTATTCCAAGCTTTCTCCTTCAAAATCAGCCTCTGCTAACAGAGGGATCAATCCAACATGCCACTGCAGACTCCAACTATTGCATACATTCCACTTCTACAGACACAGATACACATTTTGGGTATCCAGTAGACAGACAACCCTTGATGAATTCAGTTCACTTCTAGCAAGTGTGTTTAGCAATGTGTCACACAGAGCATATGACTTCCTCTCCCCCAAGTACAATATTTTTGATGCTGGCAACAAAGTGTTTTCTTGGAATTCATCCATTAAGTTTTAAAAATACTTACTCCAACACACAAAACTAAGACAACTACTCAAAAAAACTAATACCATGTTAAGAGGTGCAAATATGCTTATAGAATTAAAAGAGTGATCTGTTTCATCTCAAATTTGCCTTAATATAACTACCTAAAAACCTAGGCAGTTAAAATATATCAATAAACCTGCAAAAAGTCCTACTGCATGCTTATTAGAGGTAGGTAACAGGTACTGATGCTTGCACTAGTCACAAGGAAGAAGAAAAGAAAGAAGAAAAAACTGGGTATACTCCATGTTTCAGATCCTAGCTTTGCACATGTTTTATCTACGGGTTTTACAGCACAGTTTTGCTAAAACATGCTAACAAGAACATCAAATTAACACAAGTCCTGCAAAAATGCTTCAATTCTAAACATGGTATTACAAACCTCACTCCCATTTTTAGGTGTCCACATATTCACTTTTCAGGTTGAAAAATGCACTTCTTATCTCAATAAATTATTAGAAATCTGAATACCTTCACTTCCTTTCGTTTGCTGTCTTCATCTGCTTCATGTTCCACCACTCCTTGAGTCAGATTAGTGTAGTTTGCTAGTTTATTCAGAAGAGATGACACCATGGGGTTACTATCCATTTCTTCCTGTTGGGTTTTGAAGAATACTGCATTTATTAAATAAATTTTCTTTTTAAGTCATCATTTTATGATACTGCTTCAAACATACTCAACAGGTCAGCCCTGATTCAGCCAAATAAAAAAATTAGCATGACAGAATACCAGTCAGCTTTCAACCAACAAGAGGGTTCTATTCTTTCTAGAAGTTTAACTCTACATGGCTATGTTGCACCATTTCTTTAATATTTTTACGTTACCTTACAATATGCAGCTCAAATATAAGGAAAACCTAGAGAAATTCCACTGTAATTTTAAAAATCTATTTTCATCACAGCACAGTCTTTAGTGGATTGTACTGGTAGAGTTGAGTCATTTGAGTTTTTCCAGCACATGAGTTTTTCCAGCACCTTGCTTGTGTTTAGAAAGTGACTTCAAATGATTTCTCAATCACTAAAGTACTTAAGTACCTCTCTGAAGTCTAGTGCTGCAGGCTTACATATTTTCTTATACCAGGCATACTACTTCCAAAGTGTTAACTTGTTGAAAATACCCACACATCTATTACATATAATTGCACATATATAATAGCACCTGACACAGAAGTCAGCCCATCTTTCTTTACTGCTACAAAACAAAAGCATGCTAAAACATATCATACAATCCAGAAGAATACACAGCATTAGAATTCCAAGAAAAATGGATCCAGGAGAATTCAATTAAATACAAAATCTTGAACACTGGAAAGAAGACAAGAGATCAGGGTGACAAACATAGACAAGAAGTAAAGTATGGGAGATTAGGTAATGATAATGGTCATAATAGTCAAACTTCTTTTTAACAGTTTATACAACTCTCACATCTGAAAACACGAGAAAAACAAGATTATAGAAAACTTACTCTGAAACATACATAGTATCAAAAAATTTCACCACAACAACACCAGCAGTGATGCAATCACTAGAAGGCTTTCAATGCGATATTGTTAACAGCAATATCTATAACTTGAGATACGTAAAAATAATGGTTTCATATCACTTGATTTAATGTGAGCCATGTGTCAAAATAACAGATTCAGGACAAAAAGCAGCTATGGCCAAATTATCATCACTGAGGAATACAGCAACTAATTTGAACCACATAAAGTTTTAGAAATGGCTTTATGGAATAGAGCTTGAAGGAGAAAAATTCAATGACAGAACTTTATTACCATCATTCCTGTCAAAAAATACTAAGATATTGCATACATGACAAAAAGACAATTAATGATCAACATTAGTTTGATCCTAAGGAAAATTTTCTCTAAAACAGTGAAAAATAGTAAATATACATTATTTGGGTCATGCACAGGTGAGACGAAAAACCATGTCCCCTGTGCAAAGATATTTGAAAGGAAGAAGAGAGAAATGTAAGAGAACAACAAGAAAAAATTGAGTAGAATGCAACAAGGTGGCTAAACAATGTTGGAAGCACCTTGTTTTTGTTAACAGCAAGCATCAGAGTAAGACTAGTTGATGCTGCTAGAGCACAGCAACTAAGGTTTTTACTAGAAATACTACTTAATTGCAAAAGTGGCCCTTAAAAGTACTCAATTAATACACTTTTTCCAGTAATTTGATTGTAATAATTCAGTTGATTAAAAAGGTATGAAATGTCCATTAATAAATAGATATTTACATTAGAAATTGCCATGGTGTGCTCTACATTGTAGTTGGACAATACAACTGGCTTGTAAATTTGGCTTGCAGATTTGCTTTTTAGCTTTGCTGTTTAACAAAAATTCCCCCGTTGAACAAATTATTTTGCTAATCCTCTTAAAACTGAATACTGCTTTCTTTAAAAAATACGTTTGACTTCCAGTAGCTTTGTCTAACAGTGTCAAGATCATAGCCCAAAAAATTTAAATGCACGAAGACTTATTTCATATCTTCACATTTATGCACACCAATATTTACTGTTCTTGCCTATATATCATTCAAATCCACTGAAATGGAATGTTAGCAGGAACCAAACTATGAAAAAGTTATTAAAACTCATTTTCCCTGCCACTAAATTTTAAGACAGAAAGTAAACAGGTGATTGCTCATCTCCATTAAAGGTGAAATATGTTTTTGGTGTATTTAACTTACCTCAAAGAGAGCCATATTCTTTCCTTCATACATGCTTCCTCTGCCCAGTTCTGCACAGTTAATAAATGGACTACTTTCCCTGGCAATCCCATCCCCTAGTGGAAAAGTAACACAATTAAAAACAAGAGGAAAAAAAAAAAAAAAAAGATACATTATACTATAAAAGGAATAGTCAGAAGAGTCTGGTAAGAGCTGGTTCTAAATAAGACCACAGGTTACTGCAAACCCAATTTTCATCTCAGACATGTGGATGTTAAACATTTAAGGAGATTTAGTTTAACAGTCTAATCTTGGTATAGTGTTTCATCATTATTACTCTTTAACACACATACTGATTTCTCCCCTACCCTTTCTAGTTTCCCTAAAAACACTTGATAATTGCACTACACATAAAGGTTTTGAGTATAGAATAAAATAGCCCTCCAGCTAACCTTTTTATTGCTTTACTGACTCCCTCAAAAAATCTCCAGTAGTTGAGGAAGGAATTTATGAAACGCAAAAGGAATTACTTTGTAAAGGTTGTGGGGAACCTTCCATGACATGTTGTACTTAATCTATTCCTTATTGAAATAGAAATTGCATTAACCTGTAGTTCTACTGACCTGCTCTGGCACACCTCTCAAAAAATACAGCATTACTTTCACTGCCTTACAGCCGACAAACTACAAAAACTATGACATGCTGATACCGTCACAACCCTGGCATTTCCAAATAATCTCAAGTCCTTGCCTGCACCACTTTGCCTGTGTGCCCTTTTGCCCTTATATGCACAGATGACCGCAATAGCACCTACAGTCTCTCCACTACAAAATTAAGGAACAGTTAGAGAACAAGCTGTACTCTTTTCCCCTGTCTCCTCCCTCTGCTCCCTACATGAAATCCTAGAAGAAAGCTCTGGCAAATGTGTACACTAGTCTCAGCACAACATATTATCTTGGTTGTAAACCAGACAGAAATATATCTCAGTCCCTCAAACATAAGAGGGACTGTGGATTTCCCACCACTAATTTCCTACCACTCTCCACAGTATCACTATAGTTATTGGTATCATGACATAGAAACCACATACTATTATAAGAGACACAGAATATAACAACTGTCCTAAAAATTAGGGCTTTAAAATTAGTTCCTCAGTCCAGAGAAGAAATGGTGATGAATTCACACATCCAATATACTTCCTTCTATCCACATCCTCCAACTTTCATTTTTCTGATTCTCTATATTATATATTTGGTCTCTCACTACTTCAAGTCCTACAGCCTGGTTAGGCACCACTCTTCCAACCAAGGTTAATGCAAGGTCAGCAGAAGGAACACTGTTAAAACAAAAGAATCTCCCTCATGAATTAACACCTTGAGATGTTTCACAGTATATGGAACATGCTGGTTTCACACAAAATTATCTGAGAAATTGGCATTAATGGGCTCCATTGTACTTTAAAGAAAGATTCAATTAGCTTTTTCACAGACAACAAAAGAGCAACTCTGCCCTGAAACAAATACATCCTGATTTCTCTTACCATTTTGCTAAAGCATATGAGCACTTGGATTTCTTGCTTAAGACATTGCATTTTCTTTCCAAGATTTTTGCAATGTTGTTTTTCTTTTAGCTCCATTCCTGAAATCACCCATTATTTCTGCTGAAGTTTTTATAAGCCATTCATTAAAAGGTATGTTCCCAAGTTAAAATAAAAATAAGGTTGCTTGATTTCAGTCTTGCCAAGACCCTACTTCTATTGATTTTCTCACCAACTGACATCTGGTACCTGTAATTATTAACTAAATATCGGTACTCCTTTCAGGGTACTTCCAATCCCTTCAGAAAGGATTACTCTTCAAAAAGTGAGCTGGGAAATTTCAATTATTGTTTTGCCTTCATATAGATGATAATGTCACTGGAGTTAGTCTTTCAGTGGTTATCATTAGACTAATCTAAACACCAAAAGGGTAGCAAAAAAAAGAAAAAGTTAATCAGTATTCATAATTCTGAAGTTGAAGACTAGAATTTTGGCTAACCAGTTCTGGACATAAAAATCAGTATCTCAGCACTACACAGTATTTTAAATTGTAGATTGGAGAATTGTGAAGCTGTCCATTATATGTTTCTATTTCTAAACAGAGTTACTTGGCTTTACTCCAATATGAAAAAGAGCACAGCATCTCTAACAAAAGTCTTGTTAAACGCACCTGACAGGCTTCAAACGGGAAAATACAGAACTTAGGATCTGAAGAACAGGAAACCTATTTCAGTGCTTACAACCAATATTCTGCATATTTTAAAGTTTTCTGATAATAGTCTTCAAAATAGTCTGGTAGTGACAGACTGCAATAAACTCCTGTTTTTCTAACACAGTTTTCTTTTTGTATTTGTGTATGTTTGGCACAGCAATTTGATAGGCAATGCTGATCATGTCAAATATTATTTTACCTTCACTTGAAAGAGAATCAACACTGAAAAAGTGACCAAAAAAGCAAACTGACAAGTACTCTGTCATCTGCAGTTTGTTGACTACTTCAACAATTATAAAATCATTAGGACCATAGAATCATAAAAGCATTAAGATTGGAAAAGAGCCCTAAGATAAGGTCCAAACTTTGAACACTACCATGCCATCTTAATATAGCACTAAGTGCAACATGCAGTCATTTCTTGAACACCCCCAAGGATAGTGGCTCTACGACCTCCCTGGGCAGTCCATTCCAATGTTTAACCACCTTTTCAGTAAAAAAATTCTTCATCATGTCCAACCTGAGCCTACCCTGGTGCAGCCTGAATCCATTTCCTCTAGCCATATTGCCAGTTGCCTGGAAGAAGAGACCAACCCCTATACTCTACTACAACTCCTTCCAGGTAGTTATAGAGAGTTATAAGGTATCTCCAGAGCTTCCTTTTCTTCAAGCTGAATGACTCCAGCTCCCTCAGCCACATGACATCAGACTTGTGCTCCAGACCTTTTCATTGCCCTTCTTTGGACACACTCAGCAATTCAATATCTTTCTTGAAGAAAGGGGCCCAAAACTAGACACAAAACTCAAGGTGTGGCCTTAACAGTGCCAAGTACAGGGCAACAATCACTTCCCTAGTCCTGCTGGCCACGCTATTTTCAACAGGGACCAGGATGCCATTGGCCTTCTTGTCCACTTGGGCACACCACTGGCGCATATTCAATCAGCTGTTGACCTGCACTCTGAGGTCCTATTTTGATGAACCACTTTCAAGCCACTCTTCTCCCAGCCTTCAAAGTTGCATGGGGTTGTTGTGCATGACCTGGCATTTTGCCTTACTGAACCTCATACATGTACCACAGTGGCTAACCTCCAGTTGTCCAGAACCTCTCCAGTTTATCAGGACTAACAATAATGATAGAGAGAGGCTTGGCAATCTCTTCTGCCAGCTCCCCAAGTACACTCTAGTGGGTTCCACCCAGCCCCATACACTTGTGAGTGTCTAAGTGGCTCAGTGGATCACTGACTACTTTTCTGGATTATAGTGGGTCAGTTCTGCTCCCCATCTCTCTCTATCAGCTCCAAGGGCTGGTCACCATGAGGATAACTGGTCTTTCTGTTGAAGACTAGGCAAAAAAGGCACCTCAGATTTCCTCATCCTTTGTTACAATGTTACCCTTCACATCCAAGAAAGGATATATTTTCCTTGGTCTTCTTTTTGTTAATATATTCATAAAAACACCTATGAACATCTTTGAGTTTTCATCACTGCTGTCAACAAAATCACCTTTATTTCAAATTGAAAACCACCACCTTTTGAAGTATCCTTATTTAATATGTTTAGATATACAGTGAATCTTATTAACATGTAAGTCAAACTGACATGTATTATACCATTCAGCAGAAAGAACTAGTTTCAGAATCTCAATGCACAGACATCATCTGTGGTGAAATTAACCAAACAAACTATCTCAATCTTTAGCTTATTCTTTCTTCAAAAGAAGATTCAATAGAAAAGAAATTATTCATTAGAAAACCAGAATCAAATTAAGACAGGATTAACACTTTTCACAAATCCTGTAAATCTTGCCCCTCATGCATCAAGTGGACAATAGAAAAAGCTATTTCAGTTACTTCTACTGAGGTTACATGGAACACAAAAGCAATAAGAACTTCATTTCACTAGTAAGTCTTAAGCCATCTATGGTTTATCTCAGCCCTATCCCCTTGAACTCTATGAGGAAGCTTTAAGATAGTCAAATCACAGAATCATGTAGGTTGGAAAAGCACCTTGAGACCAACCATACACTTAACACTGCCAAATTCACCACTAAACAATGTTCCTAAGCACCACACCTACACATATTTTAAACATCAGCAGGGACAATGGCTCAGCCACTTCCTTGGGCAGCCCATTCCAATGCTTGACAAGCAAATCACCTTTTCCTTAGGTCTCTTTGAAATTGTGTCTGTTTAAACACTTCTCAAGTGTGAGCTGAGTGAAACATAAAATAAAAATTAGAACTTCCAATGTAGTTTCAGTCATATCATTCAGCTGCATTTCTTCTGAAATCCAGTTTCTGCAAGCGAAGCATTCCAAAAATCTATACTTTCTGTTGCTTGATTTCTGAAAGTAACTCAGTTTATGAGGGTTTACAGACAAAAATCTTAAATCTAGACTAGTATTTCATTTTGGATCACAAAAAAGGCAAAATAGAATAACCAAAAAAACCCTTTGGGTTTGTTTATGGTATGTTTCATGTGTCTTCTGACACAGAAAAAATTTGCCTGTTAATATCATACTCCATGTCACTCAACTAAGTCATCAAAGCCTAAGTTTTAAAAATTATGTTTCTACCCTTGTACCTACTTTAAAAATTATTATTACAATTTTTAATCTGATACGGAATGTTCTTATAACCCAGCACAATTCTGTGCTTACTGCTGGAGCAGTAGACAAACTAAAGCCATGACTAATTGCTATAGATAGATAATGAGATGATTGGGTCTTACAATTGAGAGATGAACATTGTGTGAAAATTAAGAAAAGCTTTATTATTGTATAATTATGTTAATGTCGTTTAGATGTCTTCTGTTCTCCCCATAGTTGCCTTTTCCATCTACTCTGTATTGTTGCCATCAGACAGCCT